GATAATGATAAAGCTAAATACAGCTTGACACTACCTATGCATAGAGACATGGGCCATATCAGTAAAACTCAAGAAAACATGCCTGACATCCTATAAACACCTCAAATTTTTGTGTGGTTTCATGACAGGTTGCCACCAGCCCTTGCTCCCTCCCATTACTTGGACCCCAACTGTCCTTTTGTTTTGAAGGTAGAGGAATTGTAAAAGGGAGGACTGTCTTTGCTCTACCACACCTTAGCTGCCCTAACCACACTTTCCAGCTTCCTTAGGGGATATTTTTCCTATAAATTTATTTCCAATTCTGGTTTATCTGAGAACTGGACATCTCAGGCTTCAACACTCAAACTGAAGACCTGCCAAGCTGATAGGCTAAAATTCACCATTTCATTTCATCTTAGTTTCATAGTTGATAGGGTGGGAAGGGACCTAAGCAGATCATCAAGTCCGACCCCCTGCCATGGACAGGAAAGGATGCTGGGGTCAAATGACCCTGGCTAGGTGGCTGTCTAGCCTCCTTTTGAAGACCCCCAGGGTAGGGACGAGCACCACTTCCCTTGGAAGTTGGTTCCAGATCCTAGCTGCCCTGACAGTGAAGTAGTGCCTCCTGATATCTAGCCTGAATCTACTCTCTGTCAACTTATGGCCATTGTTCCTTGTTACCCTGGGTAGTGCTCGGGGGAGCAGGGACTCTCCCATTGCCTGCTGGTTCCCCTTGGCAAGTTTATAGGCAGCCACCAGATCCCCTCTCAGACTTCTTTTGTGGAGGCTGAACAGGTTCAGGTCCCGTAGCCTCTCCTCATAGGGCCTGTCCTGCTGCCCCCTAATCATGCAGGTGGCCCTCCTGTGGACCCTCTCAATGTTGGCCACATCCCTCCTGAAGTGCGGCACCCAGAACTGGATGCAGTACTCCAATTATGGCCTGACCAGCACCGCATAGAGGGGGAGGATCATCTCCTTGGATCTTGTCCAGTATGTATGCGATACCTTAAAAAAAAAAAAAAAAAGGAACCTTTTTTTTCCAATCTCAAAATAGGTGATTAACATAGTGCTAAAAAAAATCCAGTCCTATCTGAGTTTTTGGGTAGGAGCTGCTGATCTGGGAGAGCGTGAGAGCTCAATTCTCTCACTCTGCCCCTGCCTCCTTATCTAATGTAGGGTAGGACACTTAAAGGAGCCATAATTACCCCTTTCCCTCCATTTGACCAAAACTTCATGATTGTAGGGGCTACAATTTTAGCTGTGGCTTGGGTTGATCTTTCAGTTTTTCAGGAAATCAGTTCCAGAAAGTCCTTTTTCTATTTCCCTACTTGTTTACTAGGCATGATCTTCTTTTTAATTTCAGACAAAATAATTTGGTTGTAGCCCTCAACCATTTCAAGACGGGTTCAAATCTACTCTAAATCTTGGACCATGCTTCCTTTTACACTCCCCTGTAGCACTTGCTTTTTAACAAGTTGCATTTTTATACACTTAAAGTGCTATGAGTTTTATGGATCTCACATGCTTGTTGGAAAAATTTAAAATCAGAACATTTCATCCACCACTATAGTCAGCTAAGTTCCAAGTGTCCTACTATGTTTCACTCTGGAGAATTCCTTTCCAATTTTTTGCATAGGGAAAATTAAGTAAAATTAGGGATGGAACTTTCTGTCATCAGTGAGTTAGCTCATAAAACAAACTGTCAGGGAAGGGGTGGATTCTTTATATCTTGAATTCTACATTTCCAGATTGGATGCCATTCTGGAAGATGTTTTAGTTAAATGCGTTTGGACTGAAAAAGAGTAACTGGAGGGAATGCTCAGGCCTGTGATCTTCAGGTCAGACAAGATCTAGCTGTCTATAGATTGGTGGGACTGCTGCTGTGCAGGAAGTTTTGTTGCTAATTTCAATGCAACCAGGATTTAACCCTACACCTGCTGGCCTTCAAGGCCAAGGGTTTTTTTCTTGAGTGTTTGAATGAGCTTGATTTTTCTATTTTGTTGTAGCTTTTGTAATAGGTAAATAACCTTTAATGAAGCATAGCTATTTCTTTCCTATGTACATTTATTAACTTTCAATTTTTCTCTCTATCTGTTTCTCTCTCCCCTTCCTGCCACTGTTCTTACTTTTCTTTACAATACCCACCTAACCCTCCAAAGAGAAAGTCGGTACAGAGTCAATAGCATGGCAAATTGCCTTCTCTATTGTATCTTTCACTAAGATTCATAGCATTCTCTCTTCTTCCATCAGTTTTATATTTGCTTTTGGTGATTGTTACTGTATCTGTATTAATTCTTTTCCTAACATTTAAAAGAAAATAACCTTCAAAGCCTGGATGGAGTGAATCCAGACTTACATGACTCATTTTCGAATATAAATTATTTGTCTTCAGAGAGACTCTGATAATGTGGTATGTCCTGTCACTATGGGTATATTAACAGTCACAGTATCTGCTGAATATTGAATATAATGATAACAAATGCTGAAAGAGAAACCAGATGCACCAGGGCTTTACCCAATATTCCCATCTGTAATGGATGCCCAACATCCCATGGCAAGGTTAAGCAGGGGATTACGTTATTTTTATGTATTACAAATCAATGTGTAAACTTAATTAAAAATTCTTCATCAGAGAATCTTCTTTTACCTTTTATCTTTTCCCCAATATTCATGATGTAAGCTATTTAACTGAATAAACTTCCCGTATCTTTGCTCCACAGATTTACTGTCCATTTTCCTTTTTGAGAGATCACTTTATGTAATTTAATTTATGTAATAGGGTTAAACAAAAGTAACACTTTTTATTGGTTAGTTTAGGCTATATCTACGGAAGCAGGGCATTTTGTCCCCCAAAGACTAACTAACATCTCTCCCATCTATGAAGTTGGTAGAATAAGAGATAATGGGTGCATCTACACATGCAATTAAAGTGAAGCAATAAACTCTGGCACTTGTGCTGGAATTTATTGCTCCTGGGTGCGGCATTTGAACGTGCGCCTGGGATTGCAGAATGGTGACCTGGGTCTGAGCAGCACTGGCTGGCTGGCAGGGGGCCCCAGGGGTCAGCCTGCTAGCCTGGGGCTGCTCCTGCTTGGCTCAATGTGTGCAGAGCAGCTGGCTGGGGCACTAGGGTGCTTCAGTGCAGAGCTAACCAGCAAGCAGCCTACACACTGAAGCACCCTGAAGTACTCCACATTGAAGTACTCCAGCCACCTGGGGCAGTGACTACATGTGCCTTGCTTCCCATTAAAAAAGTCCACAGCAGGTACACTCCAGTGGAGTTTATTAGTTTACTGAGGCCTAATAGGGTCACACGCGTAGATGTTGAGACGTTACTAAAGAGCTAATTAGGGAGCTCCAAAGTAATCATCTCATGTAGGTGTGCCTACTGTCAACTAGATGTGCTTATCAAGTATACACATTCAAAAATAGCAGGGGTATCAAAACACATCAGGCCCCGCAGGCTAGATGAGTGGTCCAGGGCTGGTCTGCAGGCTGGATTAGGCCCCACAGACTGGCCCCATGTGCCACACCCAGCATGTGGGACCTGGCCAGTACAGGTGCTGCATGCAGCATGGACCCTGGACTGGCCCCACGCACAGCATGCAGTGGCCCAAGAGCTGGTGCGTGCTGTACATGCTGCTGGTCTGAGATCCAACTGCAGCACTGCAGGCTATATCTTTGACACCTCTGAAATGTAGCAAAGGTGCATTTGTCCAGCAGGGGTAACGTGGGGGTTGTACAGTTGTAACCAATAACAGAATTGGATCCAGTATTTTAATTAAAGTACTCCTAAAATGGTAAATGCCAAATGTTTCTATTTGTGATGTCTGTATGTGAGAGAGATTCTGGGACCAGAAGGCAAGTGAGGAAATTGCCTCAAGTTACTGGATTCAGAAGAGGTTTTCTTTTAGAAACAAAAGGAAAATATAGCTAGCCTTAGATGACAGGCTGTGTATAGTCTTATTTGTTTGTCCCATAAATGAAGTTATATTAACATGGAATATATCACTGCTTCACCCAGCTGCAGTTCTGGGAAGGAGAAGACATGAAGAACACTTAGGGATAACCCTACTCTGGGTATAATATACAGTTTTTAGGTCACAGTAAATTGCAAACCCATATGCATCTGAGGGGAAAGAACTGATCTTGTAACTGGCTTAATAAGAACCATTATTATGATAAAAAAACTGCTCCATCATGGGATTTTGCATTAGATTTTTCAAGTGAGTTAGGGTCTACCTCACCCTTTTTTAGAGGAAATCACATATTAAAAGGACTGAAGTCAAATCTATTTTAAAATATCAATTGTTAGCACCTATTCTGTATCTAAATATAGTGTACTATAAATTAAAATTGAGGCAATCCCTAATTAATGATCAATTCTTCTGAAACAAAAATACACTATATGCTTTTCCATGAGGAACTACAAACAAGCTTGAACTCCTTAACTACAGATACTCTGGATTTTATGAAAGGGAATATGATTTCACAAGGAAGTGAACAGCAGAATTAAAAAATAAACACTGCTTTATTCACCAACATATTTTAAACCTTGTTAAATGTACATATAGGTTAGCTGAATGCAATGTTTAAAAAATTATCCCAGGATTAGTATATCTTATACATCAGCATCATACTTTAACAGACAAAAATGCCAGTCTGTTTACATGACGGTACAGGGGGATCAAAACAAGCAAGACATACAGTACAGTAAACAAAAATATCTGTTTTTTCCTACTCCTTCTGTGTCATTTTCTCCAGCTGGCTGAAACTGACAGTATTATTGAACATTTACATAAAAAAGTAAAAGTACAGTAATAAAATCTTCAAGAAAATCATGTATAATGTTTTGCTGTAGCATACTTATATCCTCAATAAATATATCTATAGTAAAAATACTATATTTAAATTGGAAAAAAAATCCCTGATCATTACTGCTTACATTTTAAAAGCCAGTCATCAACATCTTGCATTACTTCATTGATGCAATCTACTAGTGTCTAAAGTTACAATAGGTGCATCAGCAAACAAGTTTCACTTTGGTTAAAGGACACTTTAAAAAAATGCATACTTTTATACATTTATAGTATATTTTGTATGCTCAGTATTTAATTTTTGACCAAAACCAAATATTCAGATAACTTAATACCTGAAAAATCTTGTTTTGGCTTTTATTTTGCCATACTTTTCAGAAAATGTATAAATAATATGAACCTGTACAACTGTACTCTTACTAATAAAGATTTGTTTGTGAAAATAGTGCTTAGCCACTAAAAAAAGGGAAAGGCAAATAGTTTCATTAGATGGACCTTTTCTTTTATTTGACTTTAAGTGGTAATAGCATGACAATTTGCCATTGTTTTGCAAAACAGTTGTTTAGTGATGCTAAAAAAATACAAGTATGCATATATTTAAATATGTTGAGCACCACAGTTTCTTTTTTTAATGTGTGCTATATGGCATGTATATAAATATACATGCTATAATATCAAGTCACACATTGAGGGTGCTTAGACAAATGGAGAGAAGTTAAGAATTGGGGCCAGCTGCTAAAACAAATTCATTTTTCCATTATTTAAAATTCCAGAGACTTGCTAGTATTCCACCCTAACCTTTAAGTTACTTCTCTCTTTACCCTCCTGCGTATTAAAATAGCATTATCCATTGTCAGTGTAACTACACCATTCAGATCTTCTTCAAGTGTGAAAAACTAAGACGTACTGTCAGACCTGGAAAAAAAATGACATTCTTTTTAATCTTCAAGTACACAACATCTGAGGCTACAGTCTCAAATTTGGCTTTTCACATTAAGGGCACCTTTTGTGCATCCTGTACCATGATAACATTTCTCTGTTTCTTTTGCCTTACTACTTCATTCTTTGCCACTGGCTAATATTTAGTAACAGAAATATGAAAATAATTTAAATATGAAAACAAATATGAAAACTGTGCATTTGATTTATAGCATATTTGTGAAAAACAGCACAGTGCTTGTATCATTTGTGTTTTGGTACTGTGTGAATTTACAGTGATTGTAATATATCTGGTTTATTGCACTGTACACTATGTAAGCAGCAAAGTAATCTTAGCCATGAACACCTATAATAAGTCAGGCCTATATTTCAAAATGATGTGAATGTTACAGAGAGATTTCAGCTAATGACAAATATGGATGCCAATGTTATATAACTACGGCTGTGTACAGATGTTCATTCTACCAGAAGAAATTTCCTCTTGTAGAAAAATAGCCCAGAAGCCAAAGAAGTACAGACATGGCTGAAGAGTTTCACAGGCAAGCTGTCCAGCCAGGGGGCACTTAGAGGGAAGGGGAAGGGGCAGGCTGTCAAGTGCCAGTTGGAAGCTGCTGAAAAGGAGTAGCTTCCACAAACAGCTGGGCTGTTTCCCATCCTGGGAAAATGCCCATGCATCCCACCGCTCTCCTGTGGTGGGACCTCTTTTGGTTCTCCCCTAAAGAAGAATAGCCCCTGTAATTTGTGCTGCTTCAGGCTGACCTGGAGGAGTACAGGGAGGCAGGGGGGTGTTACTCAGTTAACCATAAGAAGGCACCAGGAGCCTTGGTGCAGTGACATGGCAGCCTGCCTTGCTTCATACTGCTCTGGGTCAGCTGTGCAGTAGGGGTGGCAACTGAAAAGTTGTTGTGGCCAGGAGGCAGATGTGCAGATGCTTTGCCCAGTCCAAACTCCCAGCACCTCTAGCTTTTAAATTGCTACTCCCACTGCTCACCTGAGCAATAAGTGGGGGCAAGAGGAAGCCGTCACGGCTGAGAGGCAGCCTTGCAATCTTGGCTGCCGGCACTCTGGCTTTTCAATTGCTGCCCCTACAGAGAGGGGCAGAGGGAAGCAGGCAAGGGGTAGCACTCCCTGCACTTGGCTCCTGGTACTCGGCAGCAAGCAGAGGGAGCGATGTGGGAAAGCCCCTGCCTGCTTCTCACACGAGGAACTTGGGTGTAACAAGTAGGTGGGGAGCAGCTGGTGGCTGCTCTTCCTTCTCCTCCCAGTCTATAGGACAGGAGGAAGCAGCTATCTCCCATGCAGAACCAGCCTTTAGGGTGGGCAACTGCCCAGGGCACTGTGCACAGGGGGGCACCACACACACACACCAGCACCCACACTCCAAGTCAGCGGCACTGCTGCAGGCAGAGGCAGGTAGGCAGGCGCAGTTTGGCTCCCACAGCCACCTGTATTGCCCAGCCTAACCCCCACCTCCAGCCACTGCTCAGTGGGAGCCAGACTGGGCAGTGAAGGGATGGCTCCACCTCCCCACCAGCCTCTGCCCTGCACCCCTGCCCACTTGCTGCTGTGTGGAGGGGTAGGGGGCACCACTCAAGTTCACCTTTAAGGTTATCTCTGGTCCCATACCTTTTCCAGACTAGTGACCCCAGTCTTGGGAAGGCACAGGAGCCTTTCCTCTAGCTCTATTCCTTCTGGTCCCCTAAAGAAGTTAAGCTGTGGGAAAAGTGTGCAGACATTCAGTCTCCTGGTATGGCCATATTTGCTCTGGGAGAAGAGGTTTAAACATCTACACATGTCAGTTTTCTATTAGGAGAATGGAAATTCTCCTAATAGAAACTGAACATCTGTACACAGCCTAAGAAGGCAGGGCCCTGAAGTCCAAGCCTGGGAAGGAAGCCAAGTATTGTATTCAGTCAACTATAGTATAGCTGCCACTCTCCTCCTTAAAACAAGCATTGCTTGCTTACTGAGAGAGATGTACATTGGCTTAACCTTCCTGGCTGGTAGCAGAATCAAATGATGCTCATCAGAGGTAGACATTTTATCACTAGAAATTTCCATTGGTAAATGTTGAGCCAGGTATTTCTTATTTTCCTAATTCACACATTTTCTTTTCTCATATGAAAAATGGAAAGCAAAACTTGTGGATTTAGTGAACAATGAGTTCTTTGGCTGATATGCAGACATAGCCCAAGAATGTCTGAGAGCCTTGAAGTCCAGATCCTGATTCCAAACCTGGGACAGAAGCTGAATGATATGTTCAGTTAATTGTAGTGTAGCTGTTCTTTTCTTTTTTTTTCCTTTCTTGTTTCAATACTTGCACGGAAGTATAGCTTTATAAGTGCAAATATATTAAAATCTCAAATATTTATCTAGCATGGTTCCATGTGTGAGAAGTCATCAAGTCCATTTCTCCTTCACCTCGCCATTACTCTGCATTCCTTTCTGCTTGTTTGCATAGTGCTGACAAACTGAAGCTCACAGAGATGGCCACTGATCAGCCACCCTGTCCATTTTTGTGTGTAGGTTCATTACTCAATGCCTGCAAGTTCACTTTAAAAATATGTTCTAACACCTAGTCACATGGCTATCATTTTCACATCTTGTGTCAAATGCATATAAACAAGGCACTAAGCACTGGAGGGTTGATATGTGTATAAAATTGCAGTAAAAACATAAAAATACTTGTAATTGCTCTAAACGATATATACCATGGGCAGTGCTCATAACTAGCTTGCAGGTAACTTGCACAAGTAACTGACAAAGGGTATATTATATGGAATTGCCCCATGACAGAACAGAAAAGATTTCTGCTTGGCATATTAAAAACAAACTAATAACAATAAAAACAACAAAAAAGTCCAAGGTTCCTAGTAAAATGACAAGAGACATCAATGTACATTACTTGGCATTCTTTAAATATCAAGAATACTTACCCTACCTCTGTACAATCACATTCACCTACAAACACAAAGGCATACGTGAATCAATCAGTATGACAGCCCTGCTTCTCAGTTTTGGGTTCTATTCAAAAGTCACAGTCTGATGGTTGCGTCCAGTACAGAAACCCTAACTAGGAAGTTTCAAACCATTTTAGCCCTTTGCTGTCACTCTCTCAGATATGTGCAGAGTCAGAAACTAATTGAAGGGCCAGCCCTGCAGTAAGTATGTACTTTTTTTCTAATGATATAATGCAAAGTTGAGATTTAACAGCTTAGGGTTTTTTTTTAATTAAAACAACTTGTTGTTAGACTATAAAAGAAGCTTACTCCACAAATTTGCATTGTAAGCATTGTGAGGAACTCTTCAGTTGCAGAGAACTATTTATGACAATAAATTAAAGTGCTTTATTTTTCTTCACTAGCTGGTGTTATTTGAGTTCTGGGTCTTAAAATAATCCCAAGCAGAATTAGGTTAAATATGTTTGTAAAAATATGTTCCCCTCAAAATGCATAAAAGTTGCAAACTTGTGAACAAATACTTTGTAAGGTATTGTTCACATAGCAGATCCAAAAAACACTCATCCTACCACATACCACATATGTTAACTAATTAACTTGCAATGCTATGGTACAATTTGCAGTATTTTTCACAAAAACCCCCTCCCACTATAATGCCTTCCATTTACTTGGGATCCAGCTGGAGCCTCTTCCAATATAAGGAAGGCAAGGCAGCCATGACCCTCTGGTATCTAAGACCTCTAGAGGGTGGCAACATTCCCTGGACTGGAGGTCTATGTTATAGGATTTTCTTGATATGTGATTTAACCAATATTCAGCACTACAAGTAGATAGAAAGCTGTGGCCTCTAAGAATCATGACACAGGCATCAAGAAACAGCACTTACCAAGCCTATGATGCTCAGTAAGCTATGCCTTTAAAATCTTTGGACTGAAAGCAAAGGGTTAAAACTAGTGTATGGCTTTCAACATGCTGCATACTGAGCAGATCACAGATAAATAAGGCCCAGTGTTTCAAGGGTTAAAATCCAACAGGCAGCTCCTCCAGGCAGCTACATTGCCTGAGATAACTCGACTTTCCCTTCTGTGGCAATGAATTCCTTTTCCATGCCTTGATACGCCTTCCCTTGGCACAGCTTCTCCTTTAGCTTATTGAGTTCATACTCATGTAGGATTTTTTGTGTTATGAACTTTTCACGTTTTATTCGGGCTGTCACATCTGCTGGGACATCGGGAATCATCCAGGCGACGAAGAATTTGACGATGAACACAACATGCTGTAAAGAAGGAGGCAAGGGAAAGTGAGAAGGAAGGAAGTATAAACAAATTCCATACACAGGGAGGAATTAAGGATAGAGGGACACATTTTTAATCTGGCTCTCCTAGAACAGGAAACAATAGCAATTTTAGCAATGCTGGCTCTGTTCTTTATTTGAGTAGTTTACAAGTATAAACATGTCAAAACATCCTTCCATTTATACAGCAGCAGCAAACTCAAAATGCAGTGATAAGTTACAAGCTTAGGAGGAAGAATGTCACCTTCTGAATCACCAGGACCTTTTTCTGTCTCTGGGTAGTTCCTTGGAGTTTTCCCACCCTTTGCTGATGCCACTCAGCGTTTGAAAACTGACATTAGGATAACAGCATCACAATAGGAATGGAAGAACAAGGATAAAACCCATTATAATTCCTCATATCCATCCATATCCAGCAAAAGCCTAATTGATATTAAGTATTTTTATCTACTGTGCATCACTTTAAAACATATTTAGAGTCTAACATTACAGTCCTCTCACATGCAGTTCTCTAAAGAAATCAATGGGAATGAACCAACTGAATCACCAGGCCCTACATTTAACTTTTTATCTATTTGCATAAAAGAGTTTTTAACTCTTTGGACGAAACCCTAAAGTCTCTCAACTTCTAAGGGTGTTTTCTCTGATTAAGGACTTTTAGCCTTTATTTTGTACATCTGACACTATGTTATTTAAGAATATATCATAAGAAAATATCTTGTCTCTTCATTAGCTCTGTTTAACTTTCATAGAACATTAGCAGCTATATGCAGAATCTAAAATGTGTTAATTCAAGAGATTTTATAGCACATACCTCCATAATAATGATAAAGGCCATTTTGGCAGCAAGAATGTGCCAAAACTGCATTGTATGTGAATATTGCAGCTCATGGTCTGGTGGATATCGATAGTCTCTGTACCTGTTAGTTATAAATAAATGTAAAGGTGAAATGGTATATTCAGTCTGAGACAAGCAACAAGCTCAGTGACATTTACATGAAAATACAGCTGTCATTTAAAGAACCTTTTGACCTTGTTTTAAGTGATTCGTTTACCTTTGCAGGAAAAGGTTGGCTCTGTAACTTTTCTATCCATGGTTAGACAGCCTCATTCATAGCAACAGAAGATGACTGGAGATGTGTGGGAATCAAAATTTGTTCTACTATTGTTTTCAGGTGGTGTAAAGTAAAGTGGCACAGAGTGATGGAACGCAGCATGCAGCAAATGGAAAAATGCTGAATATGACAATGGAAGTTGACAGATTTTTTCTGTTTCACAGATGAAGGGCTCACTGGGTGGGTAGGCAGGAATGTGTGTTCAGCATTAATATCTACGGCAGGACAAAAAACACCTGGACTATCAGATCTCTGTCTTGAGTCATAATTTCTGTGTCCTTTTTTTTCAGTATAACTTTCTCGCATCAAATTTTCTTTTGCCATGGATGTCTCTGAAACTCCCTCTCAAGCCTAAAACCTGTACCATTGAGGTATAATTCCCTGAGCATTGTTCCTTCTCAGTTGCAGCCTACATCTCAGTTTTTCAAAAGTGACAGATATTTGGAGGCTGAATTCCCACTGATGGTCAAGGACATTTTAGGAGTCTAAGTCAGTTACATGTAGTAAGACTGAGCAGAGCCCACAACCTTTATGGATATAAATTTCTTCTGCCATTGTAAAAGGTAACATCTATACCAATTTATACCAGATGATAATTCAGCCCTTCTGTAAAGAAGGCCAGCTATCCCAGAGAAATGGCCAGAAGGGAATACTAGAGTCTTTTCTAAAACACAATACAATACTCCAGTATGATAGGGTACAGAACAGTGTTGCTCTCTAGCAAAGTGTACTATTTTCATGGCCTTATTAATTTTTTTTATCTGAAGTATATATGGTTGGGTAGACAGAACTCCCTGTCTCTATAACAGGAGTTAGATCTATGCAGAGTACTACTTCAACCTAGCAGAGTATCCTGTCTCCAACAGTAGCAGGAGCGGATGCTTTAAACTTGAGAAGTATATCTGGAGTAATATAACCCTTATTCATTACCCTCCCTGGAATCCATCATTGTTTTAGAGATGCTAGAGCAGTGGTTCCCAAACTTTTTTTGCTGCAACCCGCTGCTGGGAGTGGACTGTGGTGGCGGGGGTGGGGGAGCTCCCGGCACACGGCGCAGCTCATCCTTTATGTGAGGTGCCACCAGCATTGCCCCTGTGACCCTCATTTGGGTCGCAACCCAAGGTTGGGAACCAGTGTACTAGAGGAAACATTTACAACTTTTCTGTTCAACAGCTATTAATAGATCTATCATCCATTAATCTGTCTAGTCCTCTTTCAAGCCTGGCTGTGCTATCTGCCTCCAACAAAGTGGGGTGTCACCTCTGAAAGCTTACATTTATGAAGGAGTTAGTCTCCCAGGTCACGTCCAGACAAGTGCAGACGTTTAGTTCCCGAAATGCCGCTGCTACTTGTCCCTGGGAAATGCCTGTGCTACACACACACTGGTGTGAAGCCGGTTACCCGGGTGGAGTAGGCAAGGCTGGGCCAGCAACTGTGATGGCCCCAGAAGTCTTACCTGGGCTCCTGAGGGCCGGGGAAGCTGCAACTATGGTGCTTGTGCAGCTGGGAGCCTGGTGGGCAGCTGGCCAGCCAGGCTCTGGTTTTGGGTGGTGTGAACTGCTGCCACGTGCACCATTCTGCTTTTCTTCTGTGTGGGTTTTTTGACCCTGGGATCTCCCAGGGTTAAAAACCCCCTCATGCTGCAAAGTAGCAGCGCAGGGAATACCTGAATGTGCAGTGTGTGGCAGCACAGATGGGTTTGCGGTGCCACATACCGCATGGACATACTTGTCTGGACATGGTCCCATTGTGCCTCATAAATTACACTAAATTAAGGAAGAAGTCTGGCTGCCAGCCAGAGCATCTCCATTGCTTTAGTTGTCCCCCGGTTCCTCCAGCATGGCGGGAGCCAGGAGGAGTGGGGAAACAGCAGTTTCCACTAAACAGTGCAAATTGCCCCAAACCAAATGCCATGTGCAGGGGTGTTTACTGCAGCAAAGAAGGAACAGCACAAATTTGTGTCACTACTATTTTTGCCACAGCAAGCACACACACCTGCATGTTGGGATTTGCTCAATAAGTCCATCATCTCTATCTCTTTTCTTGAATACCGAACTGCTGCAAAGAAGCCCCAAACTCCATTCATCCTAAACTGGATTGTAACAGTTTTAGTTCATCCAATCTGGAACTAAAAACACTTGCATGTTCATTAAAAACTAACCAGCAGAGCTGGAATTTTGAACAACGGCAACCAAACTGCTTATGAACAGTATATAGACCACAAATTATTTGTAGAAACCATAGCAGAGGTGGTGATAAACAGTGAAAATCAGGATTCCTCAGACTGGGCTAAACACCTTTGGACTGATTTCTGGAAAATATTACTAAAGTGGGCTGTTTTAAGTTATGCTGTTAGGCCCTCCTGTGTATTGCTTTTTATGTTACACAACTTTTTTCACACCCTTTCCTGTGTTACAAGCTTAGACTCCCTTTGATACAAGCAATAAAGCATCTGTGGTTTTTGCTTGCTAGTGGGATCACTTAAATCTGGGGTGTCAAACAGATGACCCTTGGGATAGATTTAACTCAGAGATGGGCCATGTGGCTTGTGGGACTGCCAGAGCCCCTGCAGAGGCACGTGCTAAGCTGTTGTGGTTACTGGGTTTGCTGTTTCAGCATGACTCTAGAACCTATGGAGTCAATGCCAGCCATCTCCTCTGCCTCCTGTTTACCCACCACTGAAACTGAGATTTTCAATTAGTCCTGGTCATTATAATAGGTAGTAAGAGAAATGTGAGGGGAACGGCAGTGGTGTTAATGCCCTGAGCTCTGGAGTCATTCTGAAACTGCAGATCTGGCAGCCAGGGGGCTTACTGCTTCTGCTTGTGGATGATTCAGTCCTCAGGAAGCCACCACAGTCTGGATTCAGCTTGTGGGGCCAAACAAATTTGACAACCATGACTTGAACAATTTGCAAGCTAAAGTGTATGGTAGCTCTTAGAAGGCGGGATTTAGGGCCATCTGTTTTACCTAGATTTGAATAATCTGTTTGGGGAACTGTGTATAAAATATAACAAGAAAAATCGCCACAAACCTGCAAAAATCAATGTCCCCTTGATCTTTAGGTTTTACAGAAAAACTTGAGACTCTGAATACAGACAGACTGTTATTAATGTATCCAGACATAGGCGAGTTTGCATTTGGAGAGTAGGCATAGTAGTATACTAAACGAGGGATCATATCTGATGTGAAGGCTACAATGAAAGCCTACGGGGAAAAAAAATACAAAACTTTAGATAGTATCAAACAAGCCATGATATAGGATTAGTTTCACAAAAGGATTTCTATGTTGAAGCTTGTGGAGGGTAGCATTAAAATCTAAGTAATTTCAATCAATAAGTAATAAATAACCACTTCTAGCATGGTGGTAAAGGCAATCTCCTGAGAAGTGGAAAATGCACCTTCAAATCTCTTCAGGCAGAGGAAGAACTTTAACCCAGATCTTGTGTCATGGAGGAGTGCTTTAGACACTGACCTACTGAATGAATGGCAGGTGAGCAGGGTGGGTGGGGAGAGGGAGGAGGAGAGAACCACCTCTTTCAACTACACTTCAATAAAAGCAGCAGCTGTCATCACATTTTGTGTGAAGTCTAATCTAAAATACAGGCTTAAGGTTCTCAGGAGGAGGAATAATTGTGGATCTTGAGTTAAACATGAGCTAGGAGTTGAGCTGAACAGAGTAATTTCAGGGCATGCCCAGAAACAGAACGAGATGCACATGGAGTTTAGGCACCAGTTAAGTGGAGGTTTGGTGTCTAAGATTTGCGTGTGTGGATTCTGCTGAATATTTTCCTTTGCTATGAAATGGGATTTTGTTAGGCAGTCCAATCAAAGTAATATTGAAGATTTCAGACACTATATGAAACAGTTTGTGAAAAGTATCCTTAGCCACTGCTGTTACCTGGACACCCAGAACCAGGTAATGATATAAGAGAATTCCTAAATTGTGGATATTATAAACAATAGGCAGAAACACCATTCAACTGACAGAAATAATCCATATTTACAATTCCTATACTTTCCAGTATACAGTTAGATTACCAACGATGATATGTTCAAGAAAGAGATCCTGGAACTTATTGTGGCTAATTCTGTAAAAGCATCAGTTTAATGTTCAGCAGTGGTCAAAAAGGCAAATAATAATTCCTAACATTCTTAGTATGGAATTGAAAATAAAACAGAAAATGTCTTGCTGTATAAATCCATGTCATGCCCACAGTTCTGTTCCCCGCCCCCCCACCTCCCAAAGGCTGATATAATAAAGATAAAAAAGGTGCAGAGAAGGGCAACACAGATGATCCGAGGTATAAGGAGAGTTCTGTAGGAGGACAGATTCAATAGGCTAAAACTTTTCAGCTTAGACAAAAAAATGGCTGCGGTCTATAAAATGATGAATGGCATGGAGAAAGTAAACAGGGATTTTGCTGTTATCTCCTAAATTACTAGAACTAAGGGGCACAAAACAGATAGCGGGTTTAAAGCAAGTAAAATTAGTTATTTTTCACATGTAATTATCTCACAGAACTCCTTGCCACAAGAGTTGTAGATGCTGATCATTTCAATGGGTTCAAAAGAGGATGGACAAATTCAGGTAGGGAATATCTATCACTGAGTGGTAAGACTGCTAGTTAGGGGTGTAAGATCCAAATAAGGAGAACCTTTTGGGCCTCTGAATGCTGGAAGTTTCAAGGGAAGTGCAAAATCTTTCTGAATGGGTCCTGAATATATATTCTTCCCCTTAGCATCTACTATATGCCTCTGTGAGTCCAGAAGACTGGACTAGAAGGATTCTTGGAAGGACGCAGTGTGGAATCTTCTTATATTCTTATGTTCAAAGCTTTATTTGAACTAAATTTGGAGGACTCGAAAGAAAACCTTGTTAATTCAAAATGTAGGGGACCAAAAAAATATTGACTTTCAAATAAATCGCCATATTTGATTCCAAATACCAACTTCTGAATAAACTGCCAACTGTCCCCCTGCTTGTCCCCAAATGCACCAAACTTGAATGTCTTCAAGGGTTTGTGGTCCAAGGGACCAGAAAATGGCTTTGAATTTCAAAGTTGCCATATTTCAAATTATCTGTACTGTAAAGCATACAAAAACCTATCATTTTGGCTGAGGAGTGATAATAGCTTCAATGCAATACTTTTAACTATTTGATATTTAAATTAATGACCTTTTCCTGTATTTGTCAGACATTAGAAAGAGAAAGGAATAAATTATTCTGATCCTAGGAAATTGAGTTGAAGAGCAACATATCAATATATTGGTAGCACTGCTATCCAAATGGTTTGGTCGCTCTGCTCAGAAGCAGAAACAACAGGGGCAGAAGCCACAGCTCATGGAAATATAAAGATTGGAAAGCAGCTGAAATATAAAATGGACTCAACAAGTTTACTTACATTAGTAACAACAGACAACACCGCCATCCCATTCAGAATTTCTTGCCAAACTCCTATACTGTGGGCTTTGGAAGCAACAGGCCTCCGGAACTGAGTGGTCAGCTTCCAGGAATCCACTCGAATCTCCAATATATTATTCATCAGAGCAAGAAGGGGAGCCAGAGGGAAGGAGGCCACAAAGAGTGTAATAAATCCAAACTGAATGACTGCATACAAAGAAGAAAACATACAACAGTTGGTTTGAAGGTTGGATTGGAAATCTTATCTTCAAGCTAACTCTTCATGATGTTCAGACAGCAGAACATTCAAAATAATACTATCAAATTAAAAAGTAACTCCAGTGGAATATACTCACATAAACTTTTTTATCATTTAAGAATGCTAATAACTGTATAACATATATATTCTCTTGAGAAAGAAGAGTATGTGTGTGCGCGTGTGTGTAAGAAAGGGAGAAAGAGAGAGAGAGAGACCAGAGGATGAACACACAAGGGACCAGACTTCCACCAATCTATGACTTTTTTTGCTGGCCCTCCTGCTTTTCAATTTCAAACAACTGTTTCATAAACTAACCCTTTTAATTTTATTTCTTCCTCATCGGGAATATGTTGAATATTTGCTACTATTCTTCATGGGTTCACTTGTAATATTAGCCATTACATAGATCTTTACTGCCCCATGGATCTTTACTGTCTGATCCATTATGAGCAGATACTGATTTTTTTTTAATCCTGCATGTTTCCTATCTATGTACTGAACAAACCCAAATATGCTTGGTTTGTACCCTGATATAATCAACGCCTTGGGTGAAACAGCTGCATGGACAAAGTATAAGCAGATGGTTCCAAACAACACAGCAATGTATACAAATAGGGTTTCTACATACAGCTTAGAAGTAGCATTAAAAAGGGGATAGCCATTCAACAGACTCTACCCTTTTATTTGACAAATATTGACTCCCTCCCCCACTACCCCCCAGTGTTTTCTGGACTCAATATAACATCAATTTTTGTTTTTAGTTATTCAGCTGTTTGTGAACACCCTCAATCAATCATGTCTGGATAACCTTAGAAACAGCACTTGCTAGTTAACTCATGCTCCCTCTGGTGGTTGGCTGGGTTGCATCAGAGCACAAAGTATTACAGATCAAAAACCAAGTGCTTTCCCTCTGATCCTCCCTGTGGATCTCATATCTGCAGTGCAGATTCTTACAGCATATTTGGCACATGCTTCATCATCAAATTTTCCACTGACTTCAGTGGAAATTGTGCTTGAGAACATGAGTGGAATGCACAACAGAGAGATGCAATGAGGGCAGCAGATCCACCCTCCAAAGAAGAGAGAAACAATTATTCCTTGGAGTGGAAGTTCATGGACAGAAATGACATTGCATTAAATAATGACAAGGCACCTCAGTTTATAGTGCTGACCCATTGGCACCCTATATCATTCTTTGTCTACAAGACAAATTAGAAGTTGTGCCAACTTTTAATATCCAAAAAGAAAGCTTTCTTCTTGTACCTATTAGTACAAAGCTGTTATTTTTAGCTTACCCATTTCTAGATATTCATAGAATAGTCCCAAGTGTCCAAAACGCTGAAGATCATGGTCCTGCTCCCAGCGACTATATAAATTTTCTGGATTACATCTAGCTCTCTGGCGCCCCCACCAATTCCAAATCCAGCTGTATGTACATGGAGAAAGGGAACAATGAATGAAAGGCGGAAATAAAGTACCCCTTTCCCCAAAGGAATCTGACCCACCCAAAGACACGCTTTCACAAACCTGGTTTTTGTGAAAAAAATTCTAAAAATCAAATCTGCTTTTTCCGAACCTCTGCAGTTAACTTATTTCACTTGTTGGCTACAAATGTCCAACTCAGGATCCTTAAAATTCTGGTTTATTAGGCGGATTGAAACATTTTAATGAAGTTAATTCATAAACCTTGGGGCTGGTCCCCACACACACACACACACACACACACACATGCACACACACAGTAGCGAGCTACAAGAGTCAGGTATACCTATCCCACAGGTGCTGGAGTCTGCTGTCGAGGCTTCTTTCAGCGTGATGTTATCCTCCAGAAGGGGGTCGCCAGCTGGTCCTTCTGGCTGGACCGGTCGGGTGTTGGTCAAGTTGGAGATCAAGAGGGTGCTGCTGAGGGTCACTTTTCACTGCTTTTTATCTATCCTTGGCAGACTTCGGTGACTCCTCAGTTTTCAGGATTGCCCAATTCAGGGGTTGTTGACCCTCGTGGGACTTCCCCCTCAGTGGCTACCGGATGGCATCTGTCAGCCCCAGGGGTCGTCCGTATGTACGTGCAGGTTTGGGAGTCCGTTGATGAATTTTGAATAGGGCTCTGGGAGCGGTCGATCTGGAGATATTCAGCCCAAAAGTTGGTCCCCGGCGTTGATTAACTCAGACCAGGGCTTCTAGCCGTTGAACAGTGACGTTTAGAGTATTCCCGGTTGCTACTATTGATTTCTTCTGTTGGTTGATCTGTGGTTTTCCTAGGTGTTAATCGCTGCCTGCTACTGTGTTACACATTCAATCACTGATTCACTCGCTCTTTCAGGGGCCCGCCTGATACAGGGAAGTGACAGTTTGATTCCTGCCCTTGTTAACATTGTTACAATGTATAACTTACTTCTGAAACTAAACACATTTAGTTGAAAGGTGAGGAGTATAAAATATAAGCTACAAGACTAATGCCATGGCACACAAATAGATAAAAATACCAAAATACAAGGGGAGATACAAAATGCACACATACAAACTTTAAAACACAATTTCTTATCTTATACTGAAAGAAAGAGGAAGGAAGAAAAGGTAGAAGAAGAGAAATGTATCCAAAGAGGGGAGAGCAAATGCAGGCAAAAGGAAAAGGGGGCTTTCTGCTACACACTCAAGAAGCTGAGAAAAGTAACACTGTTCACCACCCTTTCTGTAAAACAGTTGAAATATAAAACTATCTCAATGCAGGGAATCACTTACGGTACAATGGCCTCTTGTATGTTTCCCCAAATCTGTTTGCCAGCCATGACTATGGTGAGCTGTGTCGTCAGTTCTATCAAACAGCCTGCAGGATCACACTGAAAGGAAAGATGTGGAAAAAACAAATTTTTATTGTGGCTATCACCTGAATAAAATACGTTTTACTCTAAGATAGAGAGTTTTCAAAGCGTTTAGCGAAATAAGTAACATACACTTCAGTTTTCAGCTAAGGTTTCACATTCAGGAAGATTCTTATCAAAAAAAGTTAAACTTGATTTTTTTTCCAAAAAAAACCATGCTAGGTAAAACCCTTCAAGACTCAATAGTACACAACATTTTAAAGCTACCTTGAGATACTTAAGGCTTGTACCTGTACTCCATTCTGCATCTAAGAAGGCATGTCTACGTGTGAAATTTGCATGCCTGAATAAACTTTACCTCAGTTCATGATGGAGTTCATTGCTCCTGGGTACTGTGTTTGCATGTGTGCCTGGGACTGCAGCATGTTGAGCTGGGGCAGAGCAGCTCCAGCTGACAGGGGGCCCTGGAGGCAGCATGCCAGTCCAAAGCAGAGCTGACCCAGCTCAACGTACTGTGGAGGGGCTGGCTGGGGCATTATGCACTTTAGCGTGGGGCTAGCTGTGTATATGTGTGTTGCGGCAGAGTAAATAACTCTGCCGTAGGATAGTACTTGTCTGGAGGTACTATTCTATGGTGAAGTTAATTAGTTTACTCTGCCCTAATAGCACTGTACATGTAGGCACTGATGTTTTACTGCAGAGCTAATTAATCAGCTCCGCAGTAAACGTCTTGTGTAGATGTGCTCAGAGAGACCAAATCCTGAAATGATCTGCAGCACTGTTTTATTTCACACACAGCTGGAATATTTAATATTATTAAAAATTTGGCTTGGCTTTTTGCCGAGGACATTAGTCTTTAATTTTTATTTATTTATTTATTTTATCATGGCCATCATGAGAATTTACTGACCTTGACAGCACCAAGACAACTTGAGACCCTAACTCCACTCAAATACCTTTATTTTGTTTGTCTCAAGTTGTTGGGATTCTTTTTCTATCTTTATCTTTTGACCTTAAGCAGCACTAAACACTAATTGTTGACTTGATCTCTTTACACATGGCTTCACTGGGAATCCTTGTATCCGACAGTGTCTTCTTTGAAACTATCTAGTGTTTTAAGTGGTGGCAGAGATGCTTTAAAGTGAAAGTGATTTACTCCTAAAGTGAGAGTCATATTTACTCTAGCTTTCATCTGTCCTTGTGAGCATCACATACTCTGCTCACCAATCCAGAGGCCTCATTAAATCAATGAGCTCAGAAAGGTGTCATTTAATGGACTTTTAAAAAATAATTATATGTGGCACTGGGGAGAAGGGGTAGTTCAAGACTTTCTTTGAATGATTTTCCTAACTTATTCTGTGCCTGGTGCTGCTTAGATCCTTGAGTACATGTGGGAAGTAGGAGGAGGGTCATCAACAGATTTCCACTATTTTTCTACCTCTCTGATCCTGCAAGCAGTCAAAGGGGATAGGTCAGGTGAGGTCAGTCCCAAGGCTGCTGCTACTGTTGGGGTACCTTAGATGCTGTAACAACACTTCTCCACTCTGATTAATTTAATTGAGTTGCTTTACATCACTGGTGGTTCTTTGGGAAGAGTAACCTGGTAGCACCCATCTTCTTTCCAGGTATGGATGGCCATTGGCTTGCAGGGAGTTCATTTGCCCTCTGACAAGCCTTTTTTCAGTTTTGCTGGGTGTCCACACACCCTCCTCACCCCAGTTTTGTCACTGACAACCTAACCCTGGAATAGGCTGTACTGGTTTACATGGTACCAAAGAGCAGACCAAGACAGGCTCTTGGCCCAACAGGCAAGCCTACACAGCACTTAGTATTCCCAGGCAGTTTCCCATCCTAGCGCTAACTGGGCCCAACACTGCTTAACTTCATAAGATCAGGTGTGGCATGGCCATAGGCCTTAAAGGGGTAGGTGCTAGGTTAAAGCACCCTGATGCCAGGCTAAAGCAGAAACATAGCTGCTCTTAGTGGCACCAGCTCTTAGAAAGCCAAGCCCAGGATTGCTGGAGAACAACACACTCATTCTAAACTCCTTCTTGCAGTTAGTAATCTCTTGGAGCCAAGGGATAATAATGGGGATCTGGCTTAATATATTAATTGTATTCCACATACATGAAAAATACAGGGACAGCCATACCTCTTCATTTCTCCAGTGGCTAAACATGTATGTATAGTTTCCAGGATATCCAACAAACTTTCCTTTGAAGAAGGCCACATAGAAGCAGGATGAGTAATAGTTGACAAACTGGAACAGGAACATCTTCATAGTGAGTCTGTTCTCATACTCCAGGTGAGTCCTTGGGATCTCTGCAAAACCAAACTAAATTAATTTCTTTACCACATTTCTAGCCATATGCAGACTTGTATGTGTTCATCACCCACAGTGCTCACCCACATTCCATGGAAAAAACTATCAGTTCAGCAGACTGCATTCCTGTTTTCAGATTGGATATCCTTTATGGTAAGTAGGCAGGGAAATGGGAGTCATTCTAGAAATGTTTATCAGCTCATATTTTCTCATCTTTATATATTGCTCATTATTACTAACTCTGCCTTAAAACCCTGTAGCTCATAACTCTTTAGTGCATTGCTCAAACTGTGGGATTGCTCAGATAACATTAGTTGTGCTCTGTCTGGAAGACAATAGCTTGTTACAATCAAAAGTACTGTGAAGCAAAGACAGTGGGGCCTACTTTGAAAGTGAGTTTTGCAGTAGGTTAATAGAGAAACAAAGGGGTTGGGGAAAAAGGAAAGTGTTTGAGAAGAAGCTAGGGGAACCAAACAGGTAACACAGATGTGAACACCCTAAGGACTCTAATAGACTCGTAGACATGTTCTCTATGATGTTTGTTTTCTTAAGAAGCTGAAAGTACCAATCACAGGAACTGTAGTAAGGTTACCAGTAATATAACAATAGCTAACTGTTTGGAGCAGAGAAAGAAGGAAAAAATAACTACAAAAATTCAGGATGCTCTGAAATGGGTTGAAACTTCCTGAATGTGTACTGGGCTCAGATGGCTCAGGATAGGAATATTTTTTGTGTCTCTGCACCTATTTTGCTGAATTTAGCCTAATAAATAAACTTCTTCTCATGTCCCTACACTACATTTGGCCATTTTATTACACACGCTTCTGCTCATATATTGTATTGAATAAATAAACTGAAATACAATAAGTTTGAGTTGAGTTAAGAAGTGAATTAAACTGAAGACATGAAGGCAGTCAGATAAAAGGATTACTGTACAATAACAAATGTTTGGGAACTCTTGTCCAAAAATCTTGTCTTTGAGTTTAGAACATTTTGCTCTTAAACAAGAATATACAATTCCCACTGATACGAGTCACAGTTATACGTATGTCTCTGAAAGTAAAAATTCCCCTCTTCGTTACAAAGAAATCAAGAATAAAAAGATGTTTTTGACAAATTCTAGTTAGCTTCCTGTTCCTGTCTTCCACTAAAACTTCAACAGATGATAGACTCCCTGCTCACCATTAGAGGGCAGCAAGTACACAAAAGTGGAAAAGTTGGAGTTATCTACTATTAACTGATAACCATAAAGCAGGGATGATGGTGTTTTGCCTAGTTAGGATTAATCCTTCACATTAATGTGCAAATATACAAAATAATATGATTGTTCAAGCTTTTGTGCACACTTTAATTGGGATTTAACAAGAATTTGATTTTAAGTTGAAAAAAGGATACTTTTCTTTTATACAAATGGCTGTTTTAGTAACTGATTTACTTCTGTTATTTTGCTAGTGGACAGAGGAGAAATAAAATTTAAATACCAGACAAATGAGAGCCCGGTGGGCCACTGGCATGCAGTGGGCACAGCTACACATGCGCTTTAATGTGCAGTACCCTATTTTAACACACATTAGAGCGTCACGGCAAAAAACGTGCATATATGCTAATGCACAGTAAAAATAGGCTATTGCACATTTAGAACCACTAAAAAGTGTGTGCTTTCGTTGCTATGCATTAGGGCAGCCTAATGTCCATTTACTTAGTACCTCACATTAGAGGTACTGAATTTTAATGTGCAGCAAAAGCACATTAATGACAGTGCAGATGCACCCAGTATTTACTTTAATGTATCTTTAATGTTTGTGGGTTTTAAAATCATCTCCTTCTAGAAATTATGAAACTGTTAATGATGCAGATTGCTCGTCTGTGGAAAACTACACAGAGAAATCTTTGAGGGAAAGAAATCTTCACAAAGATCCCATCACACAGAGTCCAACCTGCACCCTACCTCCCCACTGACAAAATGTTCCGCCAAGGAGGAAGAAAGAGGGCAATGGGGTTCCACACTGTGGATCAGAATATAGTGCTTGCCCCAAATTGAGAAGATCTCCTTTGGTCTGGCCCCCAGTAGGATCCCCCAGCTCCTGGGATGCCTGGCTTTAGGGGATATATATTTCTAGGGACTAGGAATTTGTCTATATGGTACATTATAGGACCTCTGTTTGCTCCTTCCCTGCAAGCATGCTGGACTTGCAGGGTCCAGAGGTAGACAAGATGGTTCTGTAGGTGTAGCTTCTTGATCCCACTTCACACCCTTTCCAAATGGGAAATCCATGCATACAAATCCTTGGGAGGACAATTACATCCAATAAAAAGAAAGATAAAGATTGTGGTTATTTTGCTTATGTAACTGTCCTGCTTGCAAACTTTCTTGCAGAAAAACAGTATTTCAGTTTTAGAATCACAATGAACTCATATTCAGGACTATTCACTAAAATCCTGCTAAATCAAGACTGTCTGATCCTCCTTTTAAGATTTTAATAATATACGTGTTTTTAATGAGATATTCAGACCTCCTGATTACTTTAGGGTCAGAATAGTTTCAGTGCATTCAGATGTTATAAAAAGGATCAAAATACATAAAAAGAAAAAAAGCCATCTAGGGTGACAGGCATTCAGTGAAAGAAGCCTGATTTTGCCTATAATCGCCACAGTTACAAGGCTTGCTGCAAATGTTTAGGGCCTAGAAAAAACAAGAATTGTGTCTAAGCAATGACATGCGGTGACAGGGCAAAATATTTCCCTATTAATTATGTTATCCTCCATGTTGCTTACCCATATCAGTGATCCAGACGGCTATTCTCTCATACAAGAAATTCAGTATCATGATGATAACAAAGTTGAGACATGAGGCAGTGACTGAAGTTGCCAACTGAGGTGTCAGTAATCCACTGATGGGTTGCAGAGTTTGTGTGTTTTTCATGATGCTAGCAAAGGCAGCATAAACTGACAGACGGTACAGAATCACAGCTATCATGCTAGCTATGATCAGAGATGTCTAAGGGAAAAAAAACAGATTTACAGCACAGTTAATCAATACAGATGTATGCATATACTTTGAGGGCTGAAATTAATGGTGTCATACTTTAACTTATTTTTACTGCAATCTTTGTCTATGAATTCGGCAGTGTTATATTAGTCACATAATCTACCACAAGCATTCATGAATGCTGGAGTTAAAAATCAATTTAATATCTGCATTTAAAACATGCATGGAAAGATATATAAGATCATAGCACTAGAGATGGAGAAGACCTGTTCATTGCCCATCAAATTCACTGTACAGATGCATAGATTGAACTGGTACTACCTTTTATTTTAGTAAAGTATAATCCCTGAATCTTCCTTCAAAACAGAAGAATGATACCAGAGTGCAAGCCAGCACTAAATTCGACCCAACATTAACATTCAAAATTACTGGTTAATGACAGATCTTGAAAATATGAATTGGAGTATACTCTGCATGACAGCAGAAACCATGCAAGACCATATGAATTGGGAGATCTAAAACAAACATAGTAATAGGTGTTAAACTGATAATTAGTGATGATGAGTTATTGTAATATATGTTAAAGTGGGATTCAAAAAGATGCTCACCCAGAACAACACTGTAGTTCCTGAGATGCAGAACCGTACAGCCTTGCTAGTTAGAGGCAAATAAGGCTCCATCTCCTGAAACAATCAAGCAAGCACAGCACAGTTGACAATCCACAATCAAATTTTTACATCAAGCAGCACACAAAGCTGTGTGAAAGGAAAATCATTTAAACTTTATCTCAAAGAATGTATGTGGCATGATTCTGAACACGCTGATAAGGAAATCAGAAATGAAGTGACTAATCAATAATGCAAATAGTTAAGATGATAACCAGGAAGAATGGCTAAACCTTTGAAAAACTGGTCAGTTGCAAAAAGAAACTTGCGTTTTGTTTTCTCCAATTATCAGCTTTTAGTTGATTGAGGAGGAAAGAACTACTAACGTAAAGCTATGTTCACTGGAATTAAGCTTTGCGTTCAAAATTCTACTGAAGTTTTTTTTAATTCCTCATGTCAAGGTTTTTTATCGGAAATATTTACAGTGATATACTAAGTTCTTCCACACAGCTATAAAGCATTTTATTCCACTTCAAACTTTTATTTATTGATGAAATGGTTACATTTATTAGTTTCCAATCTAAACTGCAATCTCATGCGGAGAGATCTTACCCAAAAGATTATTCCCATATAGGAGAAGATAAGTTTTCCATGTTCATGTAAAGACTTGTCTCTAGCAACCATTTCTAATTCCTAAAATATCAGATCAGATGGATTAACTAGGGGTATTAAGGGCTATACCAGTGGATGAGGATTTTATATAGAACAATAATCTCAGATTGTCATTATTTAGACTGTTAATTCTTAGGGGCAAGAGCTGTTGTGTTGTATGTCTGTGTCTTGGACAATGGAGCCCTGATTCCTAACTGAACCCTTGGAAGCTCTACTGCAATACAATATTAAATATAAATGATACCACTTAACTACTGGAAAAAGTAGATGCTTGTTTTGAAAATAGAGGGTACTGGAACAACAGTATTTTATTTAAATTGTTTTATTTCTGTTCTATAAAATCAGATAAACTGGGAAAAATACAATGTTCTCAGTTCCACTGGTATAATACAGAGTAATTTTATTAGATTGAATGGATTTATCCCAGTGTGACTAAAAACAGAAGTGAAAGAAGCATTTTCCCTTGAGGCAATTGGACAGTATCAATCATTTTATCTGATGTGTGCTCATGTCTGAGATAAATGACAATATTTTTTAGTCAGTGACCAGTATGTCCACACAAATGCATTGTCCATTTGAAGTCCCATGCTATATTTTTATGAATAAGCAATCTGACTGGCTCACATATATTCATAATAAACTTAATCAGCTAAGCAATCTTGCAGTCTAGTATAGAATATACTTAGTCATTAATGTACAATAGAAGTTTTCACTAAGAAAATTATAGAAATAACTGAAGTCAATGATATGCATGTAAATATCAGGCAGGCAAGGTTCTTTGCATTAATCAGGTATCTTTTATTAGACCAACTCAAATAGCTGGAAAAAAAAATTCTTAGCAAGCTTTCGGCCACAAACACCCTTTGTCAGGCTGAGAAAGCATCTGCAGATGGTCTGTACTCTTCCTGGATGGAATGGTAAAGCAGCCAGAGGCCAGTATGTATGCAAGAAAGCCAGTCAAACTGACTGTTTAAAAGATATCAGTTAACAGTTTAAATTATACTGGATTTACCCAAAGAACCTTGTCTGCCTTAGATCAACACACCTGTAAATATTAGAGGATTTATTTACTGCAATAAAAAAAAAAACATTTTTGATGTGAGACCCTATTTTAGAGCTCAATGTCTCAAAGTTGTTTTAGATTATTTGACATACAATTATTTGCTCCTTAAAACATATTGCTAAGCCTTAATGTTTCTAGGAAAAGATTTTCCTATATCTGTAAATATGAATCCTCCTGAAGTTAGGGAGAGCACAATTTGATCAGCTATGAGCTAGTTTTGTCTTTTTGCCAGAAACTATTGTAATGCTAACACTATTTAAATAGCAAAGAAGATGAAGAGTACAGTTTCACAATGAGTAATCTTTGTGTAAGAGCGCTGAGTGAAAGGCAAAGACTTTGAGTAGCTGCAAGTAATGTTGTGAAAATAGTTCACAATGAAGCAAAGCTAGCCTTTGGGCATAGTAAATTCAGTGAACTGTGTCAATACTGCCTTTTCAGTTTGCAGAACTAATCTGTTTAAAAGCACTGTACCTTCACACTTTCAGTATTATACATTAGATAATGAAAGGAAATTAAGCTAACCTGTATGGCTTTTTTTAAGGTTTACCAATGACAGAGATCATTACAAAAACCTGCAGCACAAAAGCTTCCACAAATCTGCAAAGGTAGCAAATCTTCTGTATCAGAAAGTAAAATATTACAAGGTAATTGAGATTTTTAATAGCAACTGTCAATACATGTTTAAAGAAAAACAGAAAACACCTGTAGATGTGTAGATTTTTGTACCTGAGACAAGATAATGTGTCATGGGCCAAATGCTTGGTCCCTATAAAAAGGTCCTACTGTTTTACACAGGGGACCTTCCTGGGCTAGAGGTGCAGTCTTCACTCTCAAAATAGTGCATTGGTTCCAACCCCCTGCAGCTATAGCTCAGAGGCTGAATAAGAACCTGTGACTGCTTCACCATCCCTCTTGCATGACCATGTGCATGTTGTGGTACATAACCACTGTCCACTATTCATTCCCCTACTTCCTTATCCCAACCACATCCTGCTCTGCTATTATGAGTGATGCTACAGTTTATTGCTCTTCAGTGCAAAATGGTTGAGGTTCCTTATGTGATTCTTTTTTTCTCTTGATTTCTCCTCCACTAATACCAGAATCACAGTGATTCAGCTGTTTAAGAGGTATTTTGCATATAAGCTGGAAGAGAAAGTGTAATAATAAAGAGACAGGCATTCCATTTCAATGATCTTGATACAGGTAGTATATAGGAGTAAAAACCAATTATTTGCTTGGAATTTATTCTCTTAAGCAATCTGAAAACAGTACTACAGAGTACCACAGTACCATAAAACTGGCAGAGCTACATTTGTGACGTAGTGTTCAGTCATGCCACTTTATCTACTTTCACTAGAGTAGAATGAATGTGTTATGGAGGTATAAAAATGGCAATGGTACCATTACATACACGGAAGGGGAAGGAGAGATATATTCAGTCAGGAACAAAATTAAGGTCTATTTTTCCTAATAATTAAGGAGAGATGAAGGGAAGTACCAGCCAACTATTGTTCTAATCACAGTATGCTGTTTCATTACCCATGGCTACGGAACATGGAATATGTGTTTATTTATATGACTACTACATGTTTTTAGTGAAGAGGAATTATTTAAAAACAAAGTTCCAGGGATGAGCAGTGTGATTTAAGATGGTAAAGACTCTAATCATAAGCAAGAAATACCCGCCACCTATTCTAGAGACTACCAGATAACTCTTGTTTAAATTTTCATGAGTTCTGCTTCTAAACAGCCTATAGGCCCAAATCTTAAGCCACCTCTGATATCCGTCCAATGACTTATCTGAAAATTATGCCTCCTACCAGGAAGTTCAAATCCACCTAAAGAGACATACAGTTCCACTGTCTCAGTGGGTGCTTTGGTATGCCCCGCAAAGGCCAGTCTTAATTCAACCTATATTGATATTCTCAGGATAGGTAGCTCTGAGTGAACCTAAGTCACTCAGGAAAGTACATAGCTCTCTCCTATTTTTTCAGTATAGGATTCTGAGGAACCCCTGCTCTAAGTGCCATTTCTGCATTCATCCAATAAATATGTAAAGCAATATGCATGAACAGTACTGGAAGTGCACTCCAGAATTCAGGTCTCACTTCCATGCCAGTGTTGCAGTTGTAGAATTATTTCTTTTTTCATGTGTTCACCTTCTGGTATTCCAGTTTGTGCTGTATTATTTCTACTTTCAGACTTCTCTGAGAAAACAGATAATAGATAATATTGCAAGAAAAATCAAAAGCTGTCTTTGTGTGGCAGAAAAGCTGCTTCATATTTAACTGGCACTTTCATTTTCTTTACTCCTCCTTATCAATACAGACAACAGAGATTTGTTGTTTGTTTCTTCTTGGATATATGCTACTTCTGCTACTATATTCACGTGAAGAGTGAAAACTTCAATACTCACCCAGTAGATGCCTGCAGCAAGAAAATAATAAATAGTACAAGTTATAAAACCAAATTCTGCCTTTGTGTAAATTTCAAGTGTTCCCATTTTGCTCAGCAAGATTGTATGTTGTACTGGTCATAGGTAATGTTCTGTATGTTACCGGTGAACTCTCTCCTATAGTATACAGGGCTGGTTAAAAAATGTTGCTCTAAAATGCTTTTGGTGAGAAAGGAGGAAATAATTTTTGGTTCTTAAACAACCCTATTATCATAGTATCTGAGCATGTATCCATTTTTCAACCAGCTGTACAGGGAAGTAATATGAAGTATCTTCAATCACTTCAGCAGACTTATTTCAGGTTTTAATTTGTCTGACTGGGAAAAGAATTCACCTCATTGTGTGAAGATGTAGCCACCTGCCTGTTTCATCCTCATATAAGTGGCTTATTGCCTACTAGGGTGGCATGGATCTTTACCTAGGAGTAAGAAATTAACTAGCTCCTAGGAAAGAACCCTCATAATACAAAAAAGTGTTAATATGGACTGTTAGCACTGAGTTTTTATTCACCTGCATGTCTATTAAAGAATGATGTACAAATACAAAGACATTATTAATTACCTGAGTCACTGGATTCTTTTTCTTTTGGGTACATTTTGCCTCATATTCTGGCCTCAGCTGGAGCTGTTGCTGTTCCTCTTCAAAGTCAACCAAGTCCCATTCATATTTGAGTCTGGCTTGTCGGCGTTTCCAAAACTCCAAGAAAAGTGTGACTACAATTGAAAAGTTTTGGGAAAGCAGAATAAACCAATTTAGGAGAGGTAAATGGATGGTGTTAGATACCACTCAAACTGAACAACGCTCTCTCCCAGCTGTCTCATGGCTTATTACTCTTTCAATGCAGCCTATCTGGTAATCATATCAGTATATTGGTACACTACTAAGAACTGTGCTATTCATTATATTTACTGATGAAATGGAGTGTAAGAGCACATCCCGACAAGTGTGCATGCACAGTTTGCAGTCTGTTTGAGGCACTGCAAATCTGTTTGATGTGTGTGCACCCATTTGCCACACTGCTAATTTTCAGTGTGGCAGTTTTTTCTGACACTGGGAAATCCTGGTGTCAAACCCCAGCCCCCAAAACACTGCTAAAAAAAGCAACATGGTGCATGCCGTAGCAGCGTGAGCCACCAGAAATGGAGCCTTGCTGGCCAGAGTTGTGCTCGGGCTGCTGGCCAGGCTCCAAGTGGCTGGCTTGGTGCCACTGCTGATCCAGGGAGTTCCCCGGCACCCCAGGTAAGGCTGCTGGGGCCAGCACAGGGACTGGCCCCAGCTTCCCCTACCTGGGTCAATTTGCCCTGTGCCAGAACGTGCATGCGGGGGCATGCCTGGGAACAAATAGCAGAGACACAAATATGTGCTGCTACTATTCGTCCTGTGGAGAAACGTGTACCCATGCATGTACACACTTGTCAGGATGCCTCCTAAGAGTAAAGAGAGAAAAAAGGTGACAAAGTAACTAAGCCTCAATACCTCAGTAGCTAAAACATTCAAGTTCTATTCAGGTGACTAGTTCTAACACAACCAACTATACTGAACTAACATGAGTTAGGATGTTTCAGATAAGCACCTTGAGCACAAGAGTCTATTATGCAAACATCTTTACTACAAATAAGCAAGACTGCTTCTAAGTTGAATATTTTCCAAAGTTTTCTCTGAAGCATCCATTGAGATTTCTGAAAGCTAAAATGATGAAGTGACTTCAAAAGATAGTAGGTGTTTGATGCTTTCCAAGTCATCAAGAGAGAGCTGGGCTTAAATCTATTTCTTCCCTCCCTCTCCCATTTTAGGATATCAGGTTGGAAAAGCATACAATGGCAAGGCATCTAAAAACATTCTCTACAAGCTGATCTAAAATTTGTAATCCTTTTGATTATATGAAGTGTCTGAGTTGCTGAAGCTTGGTGGTTGAATGAACACTACTCTTTAAACCTTTGCTTTACTTCCAGAATGATCCTCTACTAGCTAATTTTATGCCACTCAAGGAGAATTATTTGAAACTAAGAAAGATCTTAAAAAAGCAGATGACAAGCTATTCTTTCAACTAATTTCAGAAAGAGCTCTGTAAGGAGGATGGTGCCTGGCTGCCATGATCACAGATAGATAAACTGATTTTTTGAGAGTTAAAGAAAGATCTATATTATGGTATTTTGATGGGCTAAGACACATACCACATTTTTTTGTGCTTTAATCACCCAAGTAGGACAAAAGATGCTTCAGTATAGGAAATAATAAGCACGTTTTCCTAGACATGTACAACGATGTATTTTGATTTGAGCTATAAGCACTGAAGTCAAATCCTGGAATCATAGAAACATAAGGTTGGAAGGAACCTCCAAAGGTCATACAGTCCAACCCACTGCTCAAGGCACAATCTTCCCTATCTAAACTGTCCTAGACAAGTGTCTGCTTAATCTGCTCTTAACTTCAGGAATAACTGTCATGTATGCCTCACAGACACAATGCCTGAAACGTCAAAAATACCTTTTAACATGCAACAGATGAAGGTGAAGCTGGGGGGGGGGGGGGGGGGCAGAAAGGGG